GACGGCTTCCCTGGTGAGCGGGGCCTGCTCCCTCGGGGGCTAGCTGCACCCATGGCTCCCACAGCCCTCAAGGGTCTCCTGGGGTCCACCTGCCTGCAGCCCCCCCCCAGGCCTCTGCCAAGGGTCTCCCCAGGTACCCTGGGCCAGAGAGCTCAGCCAGCATGGAGCTGCCCCTCCCAGGGCCCCGCGTGGATTAAGGAAACACTTTCCAGAACTTCATGTGCCCCAAAACATCAGCTCCCCTCTGCACCTGGCCCACTCATCCAAAGTACACTCTGCCCCAGCGGAAGGCAGGCCAGAAAGGCCGGAAGCTGCACTTAAATAGCGCGGGGAGGCCCTGCGGGTCCGGTAAACAGGAAGAGCTCGGCCGTCCCTGGAGAGAGAGGCTGAGCGTCCCCCTCACAGGAGATCTCACTGCAGTGGCGCTATCACCGCGCGGATCCTCTCTGCACAGCAAACCACAGGAAGGGTTCCGGCGGCCCCGGGGACGCTGGGCCAGAGCCAGCCTCCGGGGCAACAGTTGTAGAGTTTTCACTTTCTTACTCCTTTTTTCTACCAGTACTTGCCCAACAGCAAATCGGGGGGTCCCCTCGGAGGGCAAAGGCCAGGCAAGTATTTCCCTCCATTTTCTCCCTAGCACAGTAAATGCTGAATAAACACTTGGTAAAGTAAATGCTTAATGAACGGGGGATGGAGGGATGGAGGGAGGGAAGGAGGGAAGGAGGGAGGGAGGAAGAGAGGTCCTCCACAAACCTTCTTAAATAATAGAAGAAGAAAAAAACAAAAAAAAACTGGGAATTTCTAAACCAGCCTGAGATTAACTAACCAGATATTCCGTAAGGAGCCTTTTCACTCCTGAATCCTATGAATGTGACAAAGAAGCTTTGACCCCATACTTGGCAGACACTGCTAGTCGACCCCAAACCCGTTCCTACTCGTCCTAGAATAAGCTTCTGCACCTCTCTCAGCACGGGCTCCAGGCAAGCTCTGGATGGCAGCGGCTGGAATTGGCCCGGAGATCAGTCGCGCTGCTCCCTCTGGCCTCACCCACCCAGGAGAGAACGGTCAATGCTGTGACCCTACAGAGCTTCGTGTATGAAAGAGGGACAGACGCCCCCTTCCTGCCTGCTGCGACTCCTGTCACTCACTCCTCAGGGCCAGCAGTGGGGGCCCAGGGAAGGACAGAGCAGGTGGCCCCATGCTGATGGTCTAACGGGCATGGTGCCCCTACTGGGCAGGGCTCCTGGAGGGCAAGACAAAACTGGGCCTGTAGGAAACCTCAGTCAAGTCCCTGAAGAGAAGGATGGAGGCCTGGCTCTGTCGCTACGCCCGGAGGGGACTGTAACCCCAGCCTCTCCAGACCTGCTCCTCATCAGCACCCAGCTGGGAGGACCAGGAGGCCAGAGCCTGGCCCTGACAGCAGCTTGCAAGTCCCTCCCCGTCCACAGCAGCACCCTGCCCCTCACTGCACTCCAGGGGCAGGGAGTCTGCGGTGTTTCTGCAGCGCTGAGCACAGCCGGCCACAGTGCCAAAGAGGGACCAGACTTTGCTTGTGCTTTGTTTTTCCAGGGTATCCCATCCCTGGACATCAGGAGGGACTAGCCAGAAAAACAGGCTCCGGACAGCGGATCCCAGTGGGGAGAGCACGTCCCAGTGTGCCAAGCCTCCGCTGGCCCCAGATCAAACTCAGCTGACAAATGCTCACCACAGGTGACAACGGCAGGAAAGCACACAGGGAAGGAAGAGACCGGTAGCATGGACACGTCGCCAGACGGGCAGAGGGCAGGCCGCAGGGGCAGGCCGGTCTCTGGCCAGGGCCACATGGCGGGCAGTGCAGACTGCACTTCCACTGCCTCTGCGGACACCAGCGCCCAGTCCCCAGCCGGGCGTCCTGCACGCGCATGGCCCACACAGGCCGCTCCCAGGCGGCCGAGAGGAGGCCAGAGGACCAAGAACGACGCACCTAAGGACAAGAATGCGCCTCCCGGGACACATGCCAGGAGCTGAGAACTCCACAAACTGGGTCTTACTTTCTGCTCAACAGACTTTGGAGGGTGTTATTCTTATCACTATTTTACAAGCAGGACTTGGAGAAACTGTGTCACTTGGGCACTGTGATGGTAGGATTGGGACTCAAACGCAGGCAGAGTGTGTGCGCATGCGTGTGTGTGTGTCTGAGTGTGTGTGCGCGTGTGTGCGTGTGCATGTGTGTCTGTGTGTGTCCCCAAGGCCCTTCTCCAGAGCCCAGAGCCATCAGCTTCTCCCTTGACCAGGAGAGAGAACAGGAGAGAGGTTCCAATCCATTTGAAAGCTTATCTGTGGGAACTGAGAAGCCACTTCTGGGAAAGGAAGCCACGTGGCTCCGTTCCAGTGGCTCCGTTCCAGCTTCAGCAGCATCGCCCAGCAGACGCGCCCCTGGGTAGCAGGCAGCATGGTGGCCTCAAGGCCGAGGCAGGCGCGTCAAGCCAGCCGTGGCTGAGTCATTTAAGAGGGGAACAGAAACCTAGGAACCGGTGAATACACAAAGCGAGGGGCTCTTGAACACGCCCCCGAATCTCTTCTCGAGACAAGTTCAGGACTAAGAAAGAGGACCGTCAGGCCCAGGTGGCTCACAGGCGAGTCCCACCCACTGATGCTCATTTGACACCATACAGCCCTTCGCATATGGGCTCCTCGCAGAACTGACTTCTGAGCTAGCACAACTGCAAATACAAAATCCCCTTTGCATTTCATAAACCATTTATCCATGGGACGTTTCCTCAAACACCAAGTCCCTGATAATGGTTCTCAGATAAATGAGGCAATAAATACCTCCGAACAGTTCCCATCAGCAGGTGGAAACTCGCTCCTCGGGCCATCTGGCAAGCAGCCACGCCAGGCGCAGAGGGAAGGGTCCGGCAGCCTGTCCTACAAGATCTCAAAGGACTCAGGACACCTGGACATCAGGCAGCGCCAAGCCAGGTCTGCACTCAACCCTACAGCCCCAATCCTCTAAGAAGTAAGTCAAGGTCCTGATCCCAGTGACGTAAAAGGAGTGACCTCGGGCCCTTTGGCCATGTGAGGACACAGTGAGATGTCTGTGAACCAGGACACAGTGAATGTCTGTGAACCAGGGAGAGGATCCTTACCAGACACCAAATTTGCTGATGTCTTGATCTTGGACTTCCCAGCCTCCAGGAGAGCGAGAAACGTTTGTTGATTATAAGCCTATTATAAGTCTATGGTATTTTTGTTATAGCAACCCGAATGGGCTAAGATAAAAATCGCTAAAGTAGGATGCTGCTGTGACCAATAGCTAAAAATGTATAACAGAATGATGGCAGAAATACGGTCTGTAAAAGCCACTATGATGAAGTTCCAGGTAGAAATGAGGAACACGTTACCGGAAACTGGAAGACCAGCCATCCTTGCTGTGCACTGGCAAACAGCTTGCTGAATTGTTTTGTGCTCTAGTGTTTCTTAGAAGGTAATACTAGTGCATGATGAAATTGGATATTTAGCGAAAGCCATTGCTAAGCAAAGTGTCGAGGGTGCAGCTCAGCTCTTCCTGACTGTTTATAGTAAAATTCAAGAAGACGGAAAAGTTAAAGACAGAAGCGTCAAGCAAAAAAGAAGAACTCAGATGCACAACTGGAAAGGAATTGGCCCAGGACGAATCATACCTTGGGTCTTACCCACGTCTGATTTAGGTGATATTGAGATGAGGCTTCGGGCTTTACACTTTTGAATTGCTGCTGGAGTTAAGACTTTGGGGCTATTGTGATTAAATTAAGGTATTCTGTATGCAAAAGATATGTGAATTTCAGGGGGGCAGGGGAAGAATGCTATAGACTGAATGTTATGACCCCCAAAATTTCTATGTTGAAACCTGATCCCTAATGTGACGGTACTGGGAGGTTGTTAGGTCGTGAGAGTACACCATCGTGAATGGGATCGGTGTCCTTATAAAACACACCCCAGGGAGCCCTCCTCCCTTCCTCCACGTGAGGACACAGCGAGAAATCATCTATGAACCAGGAAGCGGGCCCTCATCAGACACTGAATCTGCTGGCACCTTGATCATCTATTTTCCAACTTCCAGAGCTGTGAGAAATACATTTCTATTGTTTATAAGCAAAAAAAAAGAAAACAAAATTATAAAACTAAAAATAAATAAAAGGAGGGACCTTGGACCTGCTGTGCTTTCAGATGGCACAACACTCTGAACCCAGGCTCACCAAAAAATAAATAAAAGGAGGGACCTTGGACCTGCTGTGCTTTCAGATGGCACAACACTCTGAACCCAGGCTCACCAAAAAATAAATAAAAGGAGGGACCTTGGACCTGCTGTGCTTTCAGATGGCACGACACTCTGAACCCAGGCTCACCAGGAAAACCCTGGCCTTTGTACCTGCACAGCCGCAGGTCCTCGTCACCTGTGTCAGCAGGGTTTCTGCAAGACAGCTGCCAAGTGACTCTTTCTGAGAGTACGGGGAGACTTCCGTGTTGCTCACCAAGGACCTACGGGATCGCCTCTGGGGACCTTGGGGCCAGGTAATCACCCTCTCCTTGCCTGACACTTGTCAGAGCCAGAGACACCTCTGCTTGTTTCAGGTGTAACCACGAAGGCCCCTTTCACGGAGCACCACGATAGACTTGCACTATCTCAGCCAACCCCAGGAGCTGGTACGAACCTCAGCCCATTCTCCCATAAAGAACTGGAGATTCAGGGCAGGAGTAAAAATCGCTCAGGGTCCCCAGCTAGCAAAGGCAGGGCACGGCTCCATGCCCGGCTCTGTCCTCATCCACACCCTCCACCCTCCTGGATTCACGACGCCTGGCCTCACCCTGAATGGCGTTGAGAGGGCGGAGGGGCTGTCCTGTTGCCCCCAGGCCCCCACGTGCCCCCTCCTGTCTGCAGTACGAGCAAGCATGCACCTGCCGGACGCGAGGATGGAAAAACCCACTCCGCTCTGTGTTGGAGGGGCCAGGGCACCATGCCTGATGACCCAGTCACTCACCTTCCCAAAATCTCGGACATCGAAGAGGTCGAAGGGGTCAAACAGCTCACTGTTTCTTAATCCAAATTTATCGTGGCAGACTTTAAGGAAGGTGCGTATGTTCTTCAAACACAGGAACTAGAGAAGAGAAGGGAAAAGCATTAAACCTGTGGAGCCTAAGAATCATAACAGCAGCAGCAGCAGCAAACGTTTGCCTCCGTGTGCCCATTCGGACCAGCACGCGCCTGCTCGGAGGCGACGCTCGCCCGGATTTCGCAGATGGCCCCTGGCTCCCCTTGGCCATTCATGATCGTTGCCCCCAGCCCCAGCCTGAGCGGACCAGCACACTCAATCCTGCTTATCTCGACTGGACCAAAACGTGCTGGCCTCGAGTGAGCCAGGACAGAGCGCGTGCACCGCCTTCCCGGCACAGGCTGTCCCGTTCCTTAACCCATGACAAAGCTTACAGCCAGGAACCACCCATGAAAGCCCACCTGGGGAACAGCACATGCTCCCCACAGTGGGGGCTAGTGCGAACACAAAGGCTGGAATGCCCAAATCAATTCCAGGCATCTCCTCCACCCGGTACCCCGACGCCTGGGCTCCGAGCTTGCACTGGGCAACACAACGGGGTGGCGACAGGCACGTGCGAGGCGGGGGAGCCGACCAGGACTGCTGGCTTCTAGGCCCCGTGGAGAAGGAGCTGGGAAAGAACGTATGCGGGCAGCAGCCGAGGGGGCCTGGAGCGCAGCCTTTGGAGTCACTCGGCCCTAGGTTCGAATCCTGTCTGCTGATTCTAACTTGCTGGACCAGGGGGCAGTGGCTGGGCTCCTGAGGCCTGCGTTCCTAACACAAAGTGCCTGGCTGGGTTAATGCCGGACCCTGAGGGCATGGGGTGGGCGCTTGGTATGTGGGAGCCATGAGCCCACCCAGGCCAGCTCAGCATGGGCGTCCACGAGGCAAGGACTGAGTTACACACTGAGGACTAACCCGGGTTTCCGTCATCCTCATCAATGACCATTCACTAAGCACCCGATGGCTCAATTCTAGAGAGCCTGTGCCCGCTCACTGGAAATTTAAGTGAAGGGACAGACTCAGGTGAAGGACTGGCCAGAATCAGAGGCGACGGCAGGCCCGGCGTTAACCAGCTGCACAGAGGAATAATAGTGTGACTGTTGCAGGACACTGTGAAGGTATTTAACGCCACTTAAAATGGGTAAAATGGTACATGTTACATTCTGTGTATTTTACCATGGTAAAAAAATAATAATAATGATAATTTAAAAAAGAGAGACACAGAGAAACAGACCCACAGGGAGGAAGCATGTTGCACATGGAGGCGGAGACTGGGATGATGCTCCCACAAGCCTAGGAAGCAGAGATGGCCGGGCAGCCGCCATGAAGAAGGCGGGAGAGGCCTGGGGCACATTCTCCCTCAGAACCCCCAAGAAAGACCAGTCGGGCCGACACCTTGATCTTGGACTTGTGGCCTCCAGACTGTGAGAGAATACATTTCTGTTACCTTAAGCCCTTGGGTCTGTGGAACACAAGTATGCTGCCCAGGCCTGCAACCTGAGGCGGCGGGGTCTGAACCCAGCCAACCCCTCGTCCCCTGCCGGCCGTGTAGCTTCCAGCCTGGCTCCGCTATTTTTTGCACATCACTCATCTCTCATTTCCACTAAGCACTTATTTTAATTCCTCCTCAGAACTCCCATTTTTAGAGTTAATTACACAGCTCCTAACCATAATCGCAGCCGGCAAGACCAGGCTTCCTTTCAGGGCTCAGGAGGGAGCCCAGCGTCTGCCTGGCCTGGTCCCACCCCCACCGTGGCTGCTCGGGCCCCTAACCTTCCAGAGCCACACCCCGGCAGCTCCAGGCTCCCCAGGCCGGCCTCTGGAAAACTGAGCCGCACAGAGTCAGGCTTCAGGGAAAGGGACAGAATCTGGACGCCTGCGTCAGGCTGTGAGGCCAGAGGAGGCCGCAGCCGTGCCAGCATCCGTTCACGGAGTTTCCTATGTGCCTGGTGCTGTGCCCACCGATGCGTTCATCCCCAAGAAGTCAACCCGTTTGACACGTAAGGACACTGCGGCCCAGAGAGTGAAGAACTCTGGCTCCCAACTAGAAGGTGGCAGAGCTGAGATTTGAACTCACGTCTGCTTCAGGGCTGTGAAGGCCCCCTGAGAGGATGGGGTCTGTCTCCAGGGTCTCCGTGAGCCGTGGGTCCTACTTGTCAACAGCATTCCTGTCATTCCCTTAGGGGGCTGGTTTGCATGACACGTGATATGGTCACTACTAATCTACTTCACTGTATATACAATTAGGGAAACTGTGGCTCAAGAGGTAGCGAGTGAGGAAGGGCCATGCCCGTGTCCGGATTCCCAGGCTCCTTCTCTTTCCACTAAGTGGGAGCCGCGGGCAGCTGCTGTTTCTGTGGCTTGTGTCCACTCACACGTCTGCTGGTCCCCTCTGTCTCCACCACCCCTGGGCCCAGGAGGGCCTGTGGCCGAGACCTGGCCAACCAGACCCTCATGGTCCCTCGACCCCAGCAGGGACCGGTTTAGATTCTGGGAGTGAGGGTCCTGCCGGTGTGAGGGGACACAGGCCCTAAGCAGCAGCTCTGGGCGTGTCTCAGCCCCAGGCTGAGTGACGGCAGGTGAAGGGAGGCCTAGACAGCGGTCAGTGCGAGGCCAGCAGCTGCCCGTCCTTATCCTGTGGCCAGGAAAGGTCTGCCGGCCACCCATGTCCCCGTGGCTTCAGGGGCAAGTGGCATTATTCTCTTTTCCCGGCCTGCGGGACCCTCCACAAAGGGCAGCCCTAGCTTAACCAGCATCTTGAAGTGAACGCTCAGGCTTAGAAGTCCTGCTAAGTGGCCACAATAAGCTTCTGTCCCCAGAAAACTGGCCCCGTCACAAGCGGCCCAGAACTGAGTCAGCCCCCGCTGTATTTGTTTAGTGCACTCCGTGGGGCGTGGGTACCCCGCCTCCAGCCCACAGGAAGGGCTCTTGCCTCCTGGCCCCAAACAACTCCCCTTCAGGCCTGGCTGAGGCGGGTCAGCCTCCTCTCAGAACCACTCATCAGCCTCCTCAGACCTAGTGGGGCTGAAACCAGATGAGCGTCAGGACAGGCTCCGTGCCCAGCCGCCCACCTCCCCAGGCGCTGCCGGCCAGCGCAGCCACGCCCGCTGCTCACTGTCATCTGTCATTTAGCTCCCGTGAGGCCCCAGCTCAGGGATCCTGGACGTCAGAGGCAGAGCAGGACCCTGAGAACCAGGACCCTGAGTCTGAGCCACGAGAACCCGGATGCACCCTCAGGGGTGAGGGCAGAGGGGGCTTTCTGGCTCAGCTCAAGGAACCCACTGTGAGCACTTAGTGGCCAACCTACTGATCGGGGAGACACTTCCAGGGACACCTCACCCTGCCGAGGAGAGACAGAGGGAAAGCCACTTGTGTGAGGTCACATGGGGCAGGGCAGGAAGGCACAGCTCCACAATTCCAGCCCAGACCCCACAGAGCGTATTCCTGGTGGTGACAGCCCTGGCCTGGTCCTTGGCCTGTGCTGGGTCCCCCTCAACAGCCACCTGTCCTCTTCATGCCTCGGATTTTCCACCTATAAAATGGGGAAATAAAATCCTGACCTCTGGGATGCTGGAAGATGACTGCTTTAAGAAGTGACAGTAAGGGGCCGGCTGAGTGGCGCGTTGGTTAAGAGCTGGCTTGGGGGCCCGCCGAGTGGCACGATGGTTAAGAACTGGTTTGGGACACCAGAGGGCCCCGGTTCGGATCCCACATATGAGGGCCAGTGACACTGCCCTCCACAGCTAAGATGCTGAACAACAG